AAACCCTTGTTCCTTCCTATTATTGCTTATACTCTCTCTTCAACAAAATTAGAGATAAGGGCAAAATAGTTTCTGCTGGGTATGGAGGGGGTGGGGTGTAAGGGACAGGGTGGGATGAGGGTAAGGGAGGGGGTGGGGCAGGGGGGAGAAATGACCCAAACATTGTATGCACATATGAATAAAAAAAATAAATAAAATTTACCCATTTAAAATGTATGATATGTTGACTTTGAGTGTATTCACAGGTTGTGCAACTATCATCATAATTAAATAAAATTAAATTTTTGAATAATTGCATTACCTTAGAGGGAAGCTCTCCGCTCCTTCCTACTCCGCTTTCCTTTATCCTCTTATCCTAGGAACTGCTAATTGCCTATTCTGGTATTTCATATAAATGGAATAGTACAATGTGTGGCCTTCTGTCATTGGCTTCTTTCATTCAGCATAATGTTTTCAAAGTTCATCTATGAAGAAAGGGGTCTAACTTCATTTAATATTCCCTCACTGTATGGGTACACCCATTCGTCAATCATTACCTAAACAAAGATCACAAAGATTTTCTCGTGTGTTTTCTCCTAACAGTTTTTCAGTTTTAGCTCTTACAGTTAAGTCTATGGTCCATTTTGCAGTAATTTTGCAGTAATTTTCATATATTGAGTGAGAAAAGGGTTCAGTTTCATTCTTTTGAACTAGGATATCCAATTGTCTCACAGTGTCATTTGTTGAAAAGACTGTTTTCCCCTCTCTAGGGGAACTGGGGTTTGAACTCAGGGCTTCATGCTCACAATGAGAGTGCTTGAGCCACACCTCCAGTCCAAAAAGACTACTCTTTTCTCATTAAATTGTCTTGGCATCCTTTCTGACAATCAGTTGACCATAGATTTATGTTTTTTTCTGGATTCTTGCTGTTGATAGGTATGTTTACATTTACCTTAACACCCACAATGTTTTGGCCACTTTAGCTTTGTAGTAAGTTTTAGAAACAGGAAGTGTGAGTCCTCCATGTTTATTCTCTCTTTCTCTCTTTTTTTTTGGCTTGTGCTAGGTGTCAAACTCGGCCTTGCGCATATTAGACAAATATTCTATCATTGATCTGTATCCCCTGCCCTTGTTACTTTTCATGATTTCGTTGTTGTTGCTGTTGTTTCTGAGACAGGCTCTCACTGTGTAGCCTAGGACTGACTTTGAATTTGAGATCTTCCTGTCTCTGCCTCCCAAGTGCTGAGTTTACAGATATGTGCCACCACACCTGACCTGTAGCCCTTCATATTTTTTTTGGTGGTACTGGGGTTTGACCTTAGGGCCATATCCTTGCTAGGCGGGTGCTCTACCACTTGAGCCACTCTTCCAGTCCTTGTTTGTGTTGGATGTTTTTGAGATAGGCTCTCACGAGCTGTTTGCTTGGGTTGACCTTGAACTGTTATCCTCCTGATCTCTGCCTCTCAAGTAGCTAGGATTACAGGCATGAGCCACTGTTTCCTGCAGGCCTTCATTTTTGTATGTTGACATCTAACTTTCATTCCTGGGATGAATTTTGCTTGGTCATGGTCAATCCTTTTTTTATATTGCCAGATTCAATTTGCTAGTACTTTCTTGAGGATTCTGGTATCTATCTTCATAGGGGTGATTGCACTGTAGCTATGTTGTGATGTCTTCTGGTACTGGCTTCAAACCAACTGAATTGGGAAGTATTCCCTCCTCTTTATTAATGCTCATTATTTTAAAGATAATTTAATTAGGCTTTAAAAAACTCAACTAGGTGTGTCAACTCATTTCTCAGGCATATTTACTTTATTATTTCATGTAATAAATATTAATGAGCACCAACTGTGTAGCAGTCTTTTTGTTCTTGTTTCTTTTTCCATTCTTTTGTTTTCTTATTTCATTTCCTCCCTCTTTTGCTCCTCTCCTGCTCTCCTTTCTTTTTGTTGAAGATTGAACCCAGGGATTGATTGCTCTGCTTTAAGTTTGGTCACATGTTAAATAGTGTAGTTCTAATGTGAGGCGATGAGATAACCAAAGTTCATAGGATGTCAGCTAGTGATAGTGTCAGGAAGAAAAAACTGTCAGAAAGAGAGGATAGAGGTTTGCATAGGATAAGCAGGAAGAGCCTCATCAAAGAGGATGTTTTAGCAAAGAAGTGAGAGAGTGAGATATGTGCGTATGTGAAGGAAGAGTGCTCCAAGCAGAGGGAGCAATAAGTGCAATGTCAAAAACATACCTGGAGTGTTTCAGAGATAGCAAGAAGGCCAGTGTACCTTGAGTGGAGTGAGTGATGAGGGAAGATTGGTGAGAAGTCATAGAGTTTTCTGTAGAGGACTGATTTAATTTGACTTAATATTTTAAGAGAATCTCTGAAATCAGTTGTTTTTAGTAGAGCATAGGAATGCAAAATACTGAGTGGTTGTAGCACAGGTGATAGGTGTTTGACTTTGAATATATTCAGAAGGTGAAGGTCTTGTGGTAGATTGGATTTGGGGTATTTTGAGAAAACCACAGGAGCCTATTGCAAGGATTGAGTTACCCTTTATTAAAACAGGTAGACTGTGTAGGAAGAATGAGGAGAAGACTTAGAGTTTAGTTCTGAGTATGTTTGGTTTGAGATACTAATTAGACATAAACAAGATGTCAAGTAGTCTGTTGAATACAGCAATCTACAATGCAGGAGATAGGTCTGGGCTGGGGATGTAAATGTGGAAGTTGTCAAGAGTATTGATTATTATTTTTATTTTATCATTTTTACATTTACTCACATGTGTAAACATTGTTTGGGGTACCTTCCCCCTGCCCCCTCCCTGCCGAGTATTGATTTTTTAAAGCAATAAAGTTAAGATAAAACTGTTAAGGGAGAGAGGCTCAGGACTGAACTATGGACCGTTCATATTCTTGGGGAAATGAGGAATAATAAAGTACATTGAGCTACTTAGGGAGGATGAAAACTGGAGGCTCATTGAAGAAAATGCTTCAAGGTAGAGGGTGTGGTCAGCTTTGTCAAATATCATAGAGAGATACAAAATAATGCAGAATGAAGATTAAGCAATTTAACACTGCAAAGGTCTTTGGAGACCTTGCTAACAGCAGTGAAAGTTGAGCTAGAGGGAATTAGAAAAAGAACAGGAGGAGTGAATTGGAAACACCTGGTGAAAACAAGGACTTCTCAGGGTTTAATGTGTACAGATTTACTGGGTGTATTGCAAAGTACAGATTCTGATTTAGTATATATAGGAAGGGACTTGAAATCTGCTTTTTAAACAGGTTGCCTCGTGATACTAAAGGACCACACTTTGAGAAGTAAGGGTATAGATACCCTTTTTGTAAAGGGTTATTGTAAAAGGGAGCAGTGAAGTGGGATGGGATAAGTTGTCATTTATCTAAGATGCATTGTCAAGTATGGTGTAACATAGATCATTATAGATGATGTGTGTAAAATTAGAAAATGTTAAAGAATCTACAAACTATTAAAATTATAGTATGTGAAGTTGGCGAAACTCTGAAGTTTTGTTACAAAGTACAACTGTATTTTATGTACCAGTCAACATGTAGAAAACAAAATTTACAAAGATCTCATCTAAAGTAGTATCCAGGATCATGTAAATCACAACTTTTGTCAGCATTCAGAATAAAATTTCTATTAATTTTTCCACATCAATTTTTGTTCTTTTGGGATTTTTAATTTTAAATTTTATTTATTTATTTATTTTTTGGTACTGGGATTTTTGCCTGGGCTGGCCTCATACTGTGATCCTCCTACCTATGCCTATGTGATTACCAGCATACACCACCGGATCTAGCTTGTTTAGATAGAGTCTTGCTTACTTTTTGACTGAGCTGGCCTTTAAATTTAGTCTTCCAGATCTTTTGCCTCTTGAGTAGTTGGGTTTATAGTCACTGAGCCACTGTGCATGGCCTTCTCTCTTTCTCTTTTTTTCAAGACAGGGTTTGCTGTGTTGCTCAGGCTGACCTGGAACACGTTATGTAGCTCAGGTTGGCCTTGAGATCTCGATCTTCCTGCCTCAGCCTTGATTGAGTTCTGGGATTATATGTGAGCCACCATGCTCAGCTGCTTCTTCATACTTTTAAGTTTTGATTGTATCCTTTAGTTTTTAAAAATGCCTAAAGTGTTTTGGAAAATGGGCATATGTAAATATTTGTAACATGCATATGCCTTCCTTTTTATGTAAGTGGCAGAATATTCTGCATATTTCTTCCCCTACTTGTGTTTTTCACTTATATCCTGGATATCTGTCTATTACTACATTGTGTGGATGTAGCATATTTTATTCAATTATTGTCTGACAAATGGTTAGAATTGTTTTCATTCTTTGATATTACAAATAGTGCTTCAATGAATAACCTTATGTGTTTACTTTGGTTTGTATTTTTGTTTTGCCAGAGTGGGATAATGTCTTTGAGGGTTAACATCAGGAATCTTTTGAGATAAATTCCTGGTAGTAATGTAGCTGTGTTAAGAGAAAATGTGTATGTGATTTTTATCAGGTGTGTCAATTTCCTGTGCATTGGGGTTGCACTATTGTGCATCAGCAACATAGAAGTGCCTGCTTTTTGACAGCTTGAGCAACAGAATGTTGTCAAATTGTGAATTTTGCCAATCTACTGGAGAATAAATGGTACTTCAGAATAGTTTTTATTTGCAAGTTAACTTTGTTTCTTTAGTGGGAGTTGGTTTGAACTCAGTGCTTTGTTATTGCAAAGCATGTGCTCTACTGCTTGTGCCACACCTCTGTTCTCAAATTAATATTTTTTAAAACTTTTTTTTTTTGGTGGCAGTGAGGTTTGAACTCAGAGTCTCAAGTTTGCAAGGCAGGTACTCTTTCCACTTTAGTTACTCTACCAGCCCTAAAAGTTTAAGTTAAAAAAGTAGGTACATGCTTACCGAAAAAAATTAAACAATACATAAGCGCATAAAGTGAAAATAACTCCCTTTTGCCGCTCTTTTCATTAACTGAGTGTAACACACACATACACACCATGCATACATACACATTCATTTTTAGAATAAGAATGCATGCTATATGTTCGGTGTCTACTGTTATGGGGAACTGGGAGACAGGAGTGGGAGAGACACATTTGTTACCATTGTATACCCTATTGTGCCTTTTGATTTTTGTAACTTGTGGTTGTATTACCATTTAAAGCTTAATTTTAAAAATAACTGAGGACAAATGGAATGTTAGTGGCATTCATAGGCCCTCAGCATTAGATGATTTGTAGGGTGTGAATATATCACATGTGTCTGAGTTTTAAAAATGAATGGTAATATAGCACACTTTGGGAAGTAGCCTGAAAATTAGTTGGTAGTCTTGAGGTGTAATATATTTTTGTGGTAACATATGAGCCCAGCTCCTTGTGTCACATATACATTGTCTTTTGTTCTTTCTGTGCAGAGGATACATGGTGATGGGTGATTCTTTCAATACTTCCTTATTCAAACAAACTTTTCAAAGAGTCTTTACCAAAGATATGCATGGACAGTTTAAAATGGGCTTTGGTGGTACATTAGAAATAAAGGTAAGAACCAAAACTTGATGTGTGTGGTATGTTTATCAAGAGAGAATTGAATTCAATATATGCTCTAAGAATGGTGGTTATTTTATATTGAAACCCTGAGTTAGAGATTTTGTTTACCAGAGAGATGTGTCATTAGATACGCAATGAGAATTTGAGCATCTCTGAACAATTGTTAGAAAAGTAGAATTATATAGGTAAAATTCTTTTTAACTCTTTTTTTGTTTACAGTGAGTTTAACTTTTTATTTATTTATGTATTTTCGAGACAAGGTTTCACTATGTAGCCCAGGCTGGCCTCTTTAACTCTCTGTCTTCCTACTTCAGCTTCCTGAGTGCTGGGATTACAGATATGCCGCTATGCCCAGCTGTATGTTTTATCTTTTTTAGTGCTAGGTTTTTTTAAAATGGCGTAATTTATCTAACTTAAGAGGAAACTATTCTCTATTATTTCATGCTTGAAATGATACAAAACAGTTTGTGGTTAGATGTTATAGAATTCTGTCATTCATTTCAGAAAGTTTTTTTTGGATTGGGGTTTGAACTCAGAGCTTTATACATGAAAAACAGGTTCTCTACTGCTTGAGGCATGCCTCCAGCCCTTGTCATTCATTTCAAATTTGGATTCAAGAGATCTAAAAATTTTGTGATAATTACACATGTATTACAAGCACATCGATTTTGAATTTTCATTAAATATTTCTTACTAAGCTTGTTATTTCATTGAATGTTTGCTGTGTATCCAGCATTATGCTAGGAAAATTGTAGAGATGTTGGAATATCTAAGGTGGAAGTCTTGTTACAGAGAAACTTAATCTTTTTGTTTGTTTGTTTATAGTGCTGGGGTTTGAACTCAGGGGCTATACCTTGAGCCACTCCACCAGCTCTTTTTTGTGTTATGTGTTTTCAAGATAGGGCTGGCAAACAATTTGCCCAGGTTGCCTTTGAACTACAGTACTCCTGATCTCTGCCTCCTGAGTAGCTAGGACTATAGGCGTGAGCCACTGGAGCTCAGCCTGAGATAGGATCTTACAGCCTCTTTGCAGGGGCTGGCTTCAAATCTTTATCTGCCTAATCTCTGCCTCCTAAGTAGCTAGGATTACAGGTGTGAGCCACTGGCACCTGGCTGAGAAACTTAGTCTTGATAGAGAAATAAGACCAACATATGTGATAGAATGAATTTACAGTAGAAAATAAAAGTGGTATAAAAGTTTAAGGAAGAAAAGTGAATATATATATATATATACATAAAGCACATTTTATCCTAGGGCAGTACAACTTGGAATAGTTTTTGAAAGGTGAGAGGAAAATGCATTTTACTTAGGAAACTAGTGTGAGGAGAGTAACAGGTGAGAATCAGCATGGAACATTTGAGAAAAATGCCAAGTGGAAATGGAGGGTTTGTATTGGAATATAAGAGTAATAGTTTTAATTTTGTGGTTGGTTGTAATTTGGAGATGCATATGTCTGCAGAAGTTATTTGTAGGTTAATGAAGACCGACCTCTGCTTTGGGTAATATTTGTCTGACAGAGGTATTCAGGATATGTCAGGAAAAAGAATCTGAAGAAAACTGATGTAATCTTGCCTTCTAATTTGTTTAGATAGAAGATAATGTGGTTGCTTAAATTTTGGTGGCTGTAGAATCTGGAAGGAGACTACTCGAATACTTAATTTTCTGTGGAGGAACAATAGAGGACAATGTCTAAGGTTTGGGATTAGGAAATGTGAATTTTGGATATGATATGAATTTGAATTCAGGATCAAATTCCCAAATGGAGACCACCTGTGGCTGATGGAAATAGAGGATTAAAATTAGGGATAGATTTTAAAATTGGGAATTACTATTATCAGTGTAGAATGCTCAGTGATAATTTTTAATGTTTCCATATTTTCATTGACTTTCAAGTATTAAATATGGATGAATATTCTTAAATACTTTCAGACATCTGAGTTTATCTTTGAGGAAACCAAACATACCATATTCTTACTTTGCAGACTTCAAGGGAAATAAAGATTTCAGGAGCTATTGGACCCTGTGTGTCTCTTAATTCTAAAGGACCCTGTGTGTCTGAAAATGTAAGTCACTTTTATTCTAAAAAAGAAAATATGGTTAATTATCAGGACAGCCCCAGCAGAGGCCTGGGGTGGTAGCCTATAGCTTTCCTTTTGAAATTATTCTATGGTGTTTCAGCTTTCATTGGTATACTTTTATTTGTGAATGCTCTTTTCACATATGATTTCCCATCCATCCGTAAATTAAAACTACCATTTATTTATTTATTTATTTATGGTGATACTGGGGTTTGAATTGAGGGCGTCACGCTTTTGAGGCAGGTGTGCTCTACTGCTTGAGCCATGTCTCCAACCATAGTCTTTTACTTTTTATGCCCAAGTTACCCTTGCCATAGTGTACTTTAAGAAAAAATTCTTGAGATTTAGAAATTTGGAGACTTCTAAAAGCCAAAAATAATTCTCAATGGATTTTTGTTAACAGAATTAGCTATGAAATAACCAGCTAAGTTTCAGTTTCTTTCTTTGTCTTTGTCCTGTCTAGAGAAAGTATAATCATAGAATCATGTAATTGTAGAGAGGATGATGGAACAAATAACACAAAATAGTTGGCTTTAAAAATGACTAAACTACCAAATTAATTTATAAGTAATTTGCAGGGTGAAGATACATATCTAAATTTTCTAGAGAATTTGCTTATAATTCTAATATGAACTTGTTCGTATATGCATTTGATACATGTTAAGTCAATATCCTTCTACACAGATCAAATAGTTGGATAGAAAGATGTTAGTTTTAAATATTTCATTAATGGCATATGATTTTAAAGACAATAGTATGAAGACCTTATATCAATACTTTGTTTACTTAGATTTTAATTTTAATTATCTTAACAATTTTGGTATATAAAAATTGCTTGATTTTATATCCTAATATGTTTGTGATACTGTGTAAAAAGTCTTAAGCTTTAACATTCATTGAATTAGTTTGAAACATAAAAAATGTTTTTTATTATTTTTTTTCCCTTTTTTTTCTTAATATATACTATACTAATAAATTAAGTTCTCTTTTTTCAAACATACTATGTTTTGTTTTTACAGGAGATTGGAACAGGTGGCACTTGCCAATGGAAGATATGTGGACTCAGTCCCACTTCAACCTTAGCCATATATTTTGAGGTTGTTAATCAGGTATGACTTTCTGTATTTGAAAAGTAAATAAGTGCTTCGTTTAGGCCATGAATATTTCTTACGAGTTTCAGGCCTTTTTTTTTTAAACTTCTATGAGGAATGTCATTGGTATTTTGGTAGGGATTATAGTGAATATGTAGATTGCTTTGGGTAGTATGGCATTTTAATGATATTGAATTTTCCTATCTGTGAACACAGATATCTTTCAGTTTGTTTGTATCTTGTTTAATTTCTTTCATAAATGTTTTATAGTTTTCATGTTTTGAATTTATTCATAAGTTTTAATTCGTAGGTTTTATTGTAATGGAATTACTTCCTTGATTTCTATTTCTTTTCCTTCTTTTTCTTCTTTTCCTTCCCTCTCTCCCCCTCCCTTTCTCTCTCCCGTCCTTTCTGTTTTTCCTTCTTTCCTTCCTTGCTACCTCCTTCCTTCCTTCTTTTGTTACTTTTTCCATTACTAGGCAAGTGCTTCACTGAGCTACATCTCCAGCCCTTGATTCCTATTTCAAAAATGTCCTCTTTTTTTTTTATAATGGTACTACTAAATTTTGTATATTCTGTATTCTGTAACTTTGCTGAATTAATTTATTAGTTGTAATAGCTTTTTGGTTTAGTGTTTGGGGTTTTCTCTGTATGAGAAGGATTGTTATTTGTAAACTGACAGTTTGACTTCCTCTTTTTCAATTTGGAAGCCCTTTATTTCTTTCTTTTGCCTGATTGCTCTGGCCAGGACTTCTAGTACTATGTTGAGTAAAAGTGGTGAAAGTGGGCACCTTTATCTTATTTCAGATCTTAGGAAGCTTTCAGCTTTTTCCCATTCAGTATGATGTTAGGTATGGGCTTGTCATGTATGGCCTTTATTATGTTGAGTACATTCCTTCTAGACCTAATTTGCTCAGTGTTTTTTGTCATAAAGGGAGGTTGAATTTTATTATATGCCTTTTCTGCACCTGTGGAGGTGATCATATGGATTTTGTTCTTCCTTCTGTTGTCATTTATTCTGTGGTGAATCATGCTTTTTCCTTTGCATATCTTGAGCCAATCCATGTATGCCTGGGAAGAATCCCACTCTTTGAGAAGAATTGGTATAAGTTCTTTAAATGTTTGGTACAATTCTGTAGTGAAGCCATTTGGCCCTGGGCTTTTCTTTGATGGGAGACTTTCAATTTTAGAATGAATTTTGTAAGTGCTAGAAAATATATAGTCTATGATTGTATGACAACATAGTAGATTTTGCTTAGTTTTTACTCCTTTATTTTTACATAGCATAATGCTCCAATTCCTCAAGGAGGACGTGGTGCAATCCAATTTGTGACCCAGTATCAGCATTCAAGTGGCCAGAGACGCATCAGAGTGACCACCATTGCTAGGAAGTAAGTTGTATTTGTCAGGAATTTAATTTACTTATGAAAAACCATTATAAGGTCATACTCCTAAGCTGGGTTTACCTGGTTTGAGTGGCATCTATTACTGGAAAGTGAACATTTGTAGTACCCCGCTTATTTGTTAGAATATTCATTGGTAAGAATGTAAGAACAATTTTTAAAAAATACTCCTGCCAGGTGCTGGTGGCTCATGCCTGTAAATCTAGCTATTTGGCAGACTGAAATTAGAAGGATCAAGGTTCAAGGACAGCCCAGGCAAATGGTTCATGAGACTCCATCTCCAAAATAACGAGAGAAAAATGGATGTGAGGTGTGGCTCAAGTGGTAGAGCACCTGCTTTGCAGTCTTGAAGCCCAGTGCCACCAAAAAAACTGTATTCCTAAGGCACACACTTTTGTTTTGGGAGGGGGTGTACTTGGGTTTGAACTCAGGGCTTCATGCTTGGTAGGCAGGTGCTCTGCCACCTGAGTTGCTCCACCAATGTAAGACACACTCTTAAAATTTTTATCTACCTCATTCCCATGAGAGTAGAGGAAAAATCAAATAACCATTTTCCTTTAATAGGCAATAATGTATATATTTATACATTATTATGTGACATCTACCATAAATGCTTGATAATATAGTACATATATATATGTGACATCTACCATAAATGCTTGATAATATAGTACACTGATTAACATTTTTCAGCTGATGAAGTTCTTAACTATATTTTTTCAAGTGTTATTAGTCATTTAATTCATTTATCAAGTCTTCATCAAGTCTTCATCCAGCTTCTGCTTTGTGGACTTGGTACTGTTTCAGGAGGTGAATACAAATGACTTGAACATACTCCATATGCTATGTGATGGTGTGTACAGATCAGTCTTCAACTGTCTAGGCTAACGGGACAGTTGTTTTTTTCCCCCCTCAATCTTTGGGGACAGATATTTTTATTAAGTGCAATAAAAATGAGTTTCTAGAAAATGAAATATTAAAAAACTATAATGAACACAAGTTCTTGTTTTTTATTATTAGATTCATCAGACATAAAATTCTTTTGTGAAATTGCTCAGGATTTTCTGAATGTTCTCTATTTCTATTCTTATGGCAAAACATACTTGGTTTGCATACCAAACTTTCACTAGCACTTGTTCAGACCACACACAAAATTATAGGGTAATTTTGTATAACATCGTCATGTCCTAATTTGTTGATGTAGGCAGAATCAGTGGAAGGGAATAGTTAGGCACAACTGGTAAGTTTTCTGTATGACAAATTCTCTGAATAGGCATGTATTTGGTCATGTATTCTTTGTATAGGATTTATAGAGATGACAAATTGAATTAAATTTAGCACCTCTTTTTTATTTAGAATAAATAATTTCTCAACTACTTTGTTATCCTTCCTGTGTATGTATTTATAAAACATATATATGAAAAAGGCGGGGGGAATAATTCTGGGCTGAAATTAGACAGGAAGAAATTGTTAGATGAAGTGAGTCTAGGGGTAAATAGGCTTTTGACCTTTATTTGTCTTGAATTTGACTTTTGGGGTAAGTATTGATCAGTGTAAATTTACTCATTTTAGACATTGGTAAGAAAATGGGCACTTAAAGGCATTAGTAGCTCTTATTTTTATTTAATTATATTTAAACTTTGCCTTCATTCCTGAAAACCATGAAATTATTTTTATTTTGGTGAGTGATGGACACAAGCCCAACATTTGAACTGAATGTTAGTTATGTTGGGTAATCTATAACTTAGCACAGGAATATACATAGATTTAGTGTACTGGTCTGTTATATTGCTTTGTCTTAAAATCTGTGCCTAGTGTCAAGGGAAATCCATTTTTCATTTGAAGAAAAATGTGAACTGAGCATTGCCTTAGTTTTGTTCCTATTTCAGATCAGGAACTTAGAACTCCTGATTCTTGGCAAACTTGTTAATTTATGTCCCCTCAGCTTGCACATGTGCGCACACACACACACACAAATGCATGTACAAGGTAAACTGGACATTTAAAACATTTGCGTTAGGAAAACTGGGCATAACAAATTGAGGACATTTTATTAAAGCCCCTGGTTTACACTATTTAAAAATGTCTTAGAATGCAAAGAAAGTCTGAGTAACTAATACAGATTGAAGAATACTGAAGAGATGTTACCATTGTCCTGGGTAAAATCCTATGTCAGGAGAAAAAATTTATTTTAGGTGATATAATTGAGATAACTGGGCGAATTTGAATATGTTCTATAATAGGATAATAGCATTACTTCACAGATTTGTAATTGGGGTTTTCTTGATCTTAGGAGAAACACACAAGTATTTAGGGGAGGAGGGCATAGTATCTCCAACTTGATCTCTTAAAATTTGGTGGAAGAAAAATGTGTGTATATATAAAGGAAGAAAATAAAGAAGCATGTGTTAAAATGGTAACACTTAATGAATCTGGGTGATGGATATATAGGAGTTTAATCTGCTTGTCTTACAGCTTTTTTGTTTTAAATGATTTTAAATGGAAAGTTTTAAAAAGCTATGTTAGTCTTTCAAAAGAAAGGGAGCTTTCTTTTGAGGAACTTCATAGTTTACATTTCAACTCGTTTGCACAAAATTTATGAAGCTATTTATAGAAATACATTATTTGTGATCATGATATCTCCCCTGCCAGGTAATATTGAAATCTAGTATTTGTTATGGTGCCTTTTATGGCACGTGTTCCATCAAAGCCTGCATTCTTTTTTTACAGTTTTGAATAGTATTTTTTTTTGTTGTTGTTCATTTCATTCTTCTTTTCAAGTTATCTTAGCCTGACTGCATTCGATAGTCAGGACTTTTTTTTTTTTTTTTTTTTT